CACTTCATTCATTGCCATTACTCTTACTTTATACCATTGCCCTTAAAATTTTGTCCCTATTTTCAGAAACGTCTGGCTGTGTACCAAGCAAATCACTGTACAATACTCTTCATAAAAAGAAAAAGCTTCATGATTTACTTGAAGGACTCGATGCTGCTACGTTGCGTAAGCTAAGGCAGGTGGATTTTATTGGAGAATTCAAAACGGAAGCCTTCAGTTAGGTAGAGACTGATCCACAACGCAGCGGGGCGGTATGTGAAAACCACAATTAATTGGGGGCTAGTGTCCAGAACATCAGATCATAAGCCCTTTGGACGGGATGAAACGTCCAAGGTGCCCAGTACACCTCGGTGTCCAATCAAGCGAACGACCACTGCCATAACCAAGGTGTGGGTGAGCGTGGTTCGTGTGCCTGTTCTTGACTAGTTTGGAATTAGGGATTTTGGCCAACTCCCCTAGATGGACTATCAATGGTTCACTGATACGCGTGTTGGCTTTTCGTCCTCTCGCTTTGGTGGGAAAATAGGTCCACCACGAGAAAGCAGTGAGTGGTACTTCCTCAGCTGAGGCTATATGAAACGCAGAACAATTATCTAATCTGCTTATCGAACCACGGTGACAGTCATATCACGGCAGGTAGAGGGAGGCCACAAATTATTACACGTCATACAGCTAGATGGGCCTGTTTGCTGATTTGATTGAAACGTGTCAAGCATCGAGAGATTCTCTGGCGTGTTTTGACCGGGTTTGCTAGATGATTCTCAATATTTTGAAGTGAAATTAGGGTACTTCTTGATCTTCTTGGAGGGAAATCGGTGAGTGAGTCATGCCTCCTGACCGCTAATTGTTGTTCACGGATCCTTGTTGAGAATTTTCTTCTAGTTTCTTCGATGCAGCGTTTTGGACAACTCTAGCAATTTATATTATGGACAGCATTGCTCTTGTCTTCCTCCATTGTTCTTTCCTTTGAATTTGAAAGAATTCTAGGTAGTTGGTGGGTCGATTTGTAGGCGACTTGGGTTCTGTATGGTGTGAGCAGCCCGCTGTCACTCCCGAAACATCCTTGAAATACGATCAGGTTGTTCTTGTTTCTGATTCTCCGTTTGTTGTTTTTTTCCTTCTTTGTGTCAGTTCTTTTGATGAAAACATTCCACGTGAACACCAACGGTGAGCGCCACTAATATTATCTTATTCTGTGACAGAGTTGAACCCCAGTAGTCTGTGACCATCACGTGGAATTCTGATGGTTTTCGCCTAGCGGGATACTAGAGTCAACTCATTTGACACAAAATATAGACTCAACCCTAACTAGATTAGTCTTGAAAGCAGAGACTGTCAGAGACGTACCATAATTCTGCAGTTTTCGGGTTCTGCGTACGGGCCTTCTCGAGGATGGAGCGCGCCTTGGTCAGATTGCCGTTCTTTTCTTCGAACTGAGCCAACTGAAGCCACAAAGTCGTATGTTCCGGATTGTGGGTGAGCTGATTGAAATGGAACGAAGATGAGGGGCGCCGCGGAGGTGGTGGTCAAGAAAAAATGAAACTGAACATTGTGCTTAGATACTACGACTAATAAAACACATTTAACAGTAGGAGTAAGACTCACTGACTCGACACAATGTAAGAAATATAAGTATTTTGAACAGTATCACTACGGGAATAGGAACTGAACAATGAAAAGTTATTAATCCTTTATAAGCGACGGGGAGATCTGTGATAACCGACAAGGAACTCCGGACAGCTGTTTCGTCCTGTTTGGGACTCTTCAGCAGTGCGTATATTTTGTGTCCCTGTCAGGATTAGAACCTTCAGGCAACCAGGGACGCCCAAAATACTGCCCAAGAATGATGGGTACCGTTTCTGAAGGTTATTGATCCGACACGGTACCACCTAGCTTGGTAATGAATGTACTGAAAATCTGGGCTCACGTCAACAATGCATGAAACCGGTTGCATACGAGAATGGCGGTGCAAGTAAGCTAGTACCGAGTAACAAATGAAAGCAACTGAGGGTGGATCGCAAACCAAGATGTATGCGGAAAACAAGCTGACGTAGTCTTGTCGTCCTTCAATGCGTCGACTATGGCGTGATTCACCATAACGTTTCAGTCAAGAAGGTGCAATGCAACTAGCAGTCTACTTTTTTCTGTTCCATGAACTAGTGTGATTAGAAGTAGTAGGATAGATGGAAACCAGCACACGCAGGAACGTAATGCTCGACCAGAGGAAACCGGTAATCCATACGCTGAGGTTCAAAATGGATAAACACAAACAGATAACCGGGTTATTGACCAAACGACAATGGCAACCCACACCACTATCACATGATCGGTTGTGTTAAGAAACTAATATAAAATACCATTGTAGATTTCATGGGAAGTTAGAGACAATGGTGCGTCATGATTCGTGTAACGACAAGTTAAACAATCAGTGCATAAAGGTGTTCACAACAAAAAGCACAAATCCACTTGGTACACAAACGTACCCCATCCCGATAAGCAGCTCGGGCACGTTCCTTCAATGTTCGTGCTTCCTCGGTTGCCAGTCCCTCCTGAGCTGATAGCTCATCAAGAAGTTGAGCTAACATCAACCACAACTTCGGTGCTTGACGATACAGTGTAGTAGCTTCTTCCAACATGGATAAAGCGTCTTTCAGTTCACCTAGACACCATTCAAGGCGGGCAGATTTCATCCATACCCGAGCTGTTGATGCGGAAGCGCGGGCTTTGGCCAGGAGACGACGAGCACGCGCGTATTCGCTATTTTCGGATTCCAGTTTTACGGCAGCCAACCAAATCTCTTCAGAGTTTGGATTTGCCTCAAAAGCACGCGCGAGGATGGATCGAGCGGAAGGCACATCACCCTACGAAAGGAGAAAACAGAATACACAGTGGATGNTGGATGTAGCCTTATTATCATTGAGCAATAGCTGCGTGAATCGAAACACATAGGGAGAACGATGGAATTGTATGACGAAAACAGCAGTATTGACAATGCTCCAGAAATATGGTTCTAATTCATTTTAAATACGANAAATACGAGGGTGAATCTGATGAAGAGTATTTTAGAAAAGGAAATCGAAATTTCAGATACCATCGAGTGAAAATTTGACTCACAGCTAGCCAACGTGTTTTGGCGGCCATCAACCAGAGTACTTCAGCCTGAGGGCAGTGCGTAACTGCCTGACGTAACAGTTCTTCCAAAGTGTCACTGAAACCAAATTGATAAAATAGTTAAGATCTAAACTTGTAAGTTAAGTAAGGAAAAGCCTACAATTCCCGTCCCTTTCCTCATCTCTCCTATCATTTTTATGTTCCAATTTTAAGCACTAAAAAGTTTCATTCCGCACCAACGGTCCCGCCTGCCTCTAAATGATCTATTTCCCCAAAACTTTGAACTTCTGAGCTAATATCCAAGGTTACTGGTAACCCGTAAAGACGTATATGAACAGATATGTTATCCACAACAGTCGCCTTTGGGTCGAACCAAATACACAACTTCGTATGGTCTGCTTTCCCTGTTCTTCTTCGTTGGGCCTCAGGATCGTACATCCGCGAGGCGTGTTTTCCTGGGATTGCGCTCGATATAGCTGACTGCTCTGGAACGTGAATGAGGAACGCTCGATCGAATCGTGGTCCGTGATTGTCCGATTGTCACTGTCATCCGTAGGTCACAACATCAAGATGGCAAGTCGGAAGAAATAGCGCACCAGTGAGCGAACATTTGCCGACTTTACTGATTCCCTAATGAAAATGAGAGAAATAAGTGGTCCGATGGGAGAGGGTTTTTCAAATTTGTGCGTAAAACTTTAGGGTACGACATACTCCACGGCAGACCATACTGATGAAAGGGTTCTCTTTGGATATCCTGACCAGAGTCTTTGACTTAAGAGTCTGGACCAAAGCACCCAAGAGGCATAGATCCAACGCGAAGGCGTGGTCGAAGAACACGTGTGGATGCTTATACAGATCGGTCAAGCAAGGCCTTCAAGTTTGTGTAAAGTGTTGCTTGCTGGCGCATTGATGGGGATCGACCCTTAGTGTCATGCACCTAACGAGAAAGGTGGAACTTGAACGGAACAGGACCACATTGGCTGGAGGTTACCCAGCTTGGGCGGGTGATAGCTGTCCAAAGAAGTGTGAGGACTTATACAACCGTTTGAAGCCCTAGGTACCTTGCTCATACGTCTATCTAGAAGGGTTTCTGGCCAGTAAACTGCTCCCCTGGGTTCGTTTTCTGGAGTGACCAATTCAGGGGCGAAAGTGGAAAGTCAAAATAAAGCAGGTGCCCCATCAGCTGGCCCTACGAGACTGAACTTCGCCTGACCTCTACTCATTGACCTTCCAAACATGATTAGATATGCGGCGGTGAAAAGGTATCCTGTGCAGCTCACGGGGTCATAGAGGCACGTAAACTATCGCATTACGTCAAGATGCAGTCTCATCGTGAAAGCAAAGGGTGATTTTCGATGAACTACTTTTCTCTGTATTACTCTATCGGCGCTCGGGAGAGCAGAGCTGTATGCTACCGAGCGCGTCCCCAGGTCGTGGATAGAGAAACGGCCGTCAACTTACGGGTAACCATGACCAAGGTGGGATTCGGCCCTCCAAATAAGCGGTCGCGGACGATCCGTGGCAGCGCTCGAGGATGCAGTGGGTTTACTTCCTGACAAGGGTAATGTTAGATAAAAAACTATTGTTACCTAAAACTACCTATTTTTCGAGTATTTTCAATTAGAAGCATCTCGAATCAATACTAATCTCGCGGAGATTAATCAATAATATTGCGTCATACGGAAACATTCCCTCTGTCCGTCCGATCCGTGACCTACGACCGATTGAACTTTGCTAACTGTGTACTTGATTGGCACAATATTTTTCTTGCATTAGTCGATGCTATTTTGAGTCACATATAAGCAGCAGAGTAAAACTTGTAAGTTGACTTGTTACCTGTGTGTCGAATACACGTTCGCTGTGCACTAACTGTGTTCTTGCTTACGTAGCTGGGAGAAGGCTGCTAGTGCTCGTGGCGTCCAATCCGTGTACACGTTCGCTGTGCACTATCTGTGTTCTTGCTACGTAGCTGGGAGAAGGCTACTAGTGCTCGTGGTGTCCAATCTGTGCTGTGATCGTACTCGTGGGACTAGACGACTAGCGTGGCCGTTAAGGTACGTGTTCCTTGTGTGTCATCGTGTGATATCTTGTTGTGTGTACATTGTGATCAATCGGGATTCGGACACAACAGGTACTCCGCACAAAACAACACACATCTGCGGACAGCTCTGTGACGTGGCGAGTGTGGCCCGCCAAGAAACATGACCATCGCTACTTGTCGGAGTCTATTGTTCGGCAAGGTTTTCCAGAAGAGGCGAATGAGCCAAAGACTGGCCACCGGCTCATCTGGAACTTTGCTGCTGGCTTGCAGTCCGCGCTTGGATGCGCAAAGGCTAGAGTGCACCCTCGAACAAGGCATTCTCCAGACCGGGCGACCGAGTAGTACAATAGCCCAAAACGCCAACAATAATGAAACCTTTGATTTTCACATGTTGTCAGTGTACAATACCTGCTCCCAGCGATGAACACTCTCCACCATACACACACTCATGTCCTCCCAGCCCACCCCGCCCCACGTGTACCTCCCTAACTCACCCCCTCTCGGGAGTTCAGACGATCGTGATAGCAGTAGCGACTCAGATGGAAACTCTACCGCTGCCCTCTCGTGTCCTACCTCGACTACCGTCCAAGTCTCACCGAATCCTATACCAGCTAAAGCCCTTCTTCGCCCTCTATGCCCAATCAAACTAGCCACATTTAATGTGCGTATAGGACAACAGGCCGGTTTTGCTCGTGCTCTCGAGACCCTAGCTATCGATGTGTGTTGAGTCCAAGAGACTCGCATTCAAGACTCCAGCTCCATTATCCGCTTGACGTTCTCATCAAATCCATCGGTGAAGTTTCACTTAAGCCTCTCTGGGGACCCTGAGACTGCGGCTTCCGGTCTTGCTGGCGTTGGTGTGACTCTCAGAGATAGAGAGCTGAAGCCCCGCTCTGGGACTGCTTCCCAGTGGGCAGTAGGTTGTACACAGTGGGACTTAGAGGTTCGTGCAAGGTAAGCAACCGTCGCCCCGATAGACGAAACCTGTTTGTCGTGTCGGCGTACGCCCCAGCGGACTGCAGCCCAGATGCAGTCAAAGATGGATTTTACCATAATCCACACCACCTCTTGCGTAAAGCTACCCGGGCTGATATCGTGCTGTTAGCACGAGATATGAATGATAGAGTAGGCCGGTTTACCTCGACTTGAAAAAGACCTTCCAAGAGGGTCGAAACGTTGTC